GAGGGGGGGCGGGGGAGGGACTGGCCTCTGTCCCACAGCCCTGCTGGTGTCACTCCCCAGCATGACATCAATGCCGCAGGACGGCCCACGGCTAGGACAGCCACGGCACACCGCCGGCTGCTTGTCTGTAAGATGAGGGGACAGCAGAGGTGACAGCCGCAGGGGCTGTGCTCAGCGCAGCCCGCGCCTGTCTGACTGTCTGGTTTCTGGAGCCCGTGGCAGCATGCCGGCTCCGGACGGCGCAGCCAGTGGCCGGAAGGTGGCCCCTCCCCCTCCCCAATGAATGGGTGAGTGATGCAATCACCCAGCCTCTTGCGAATCCCGGAAAGAAAGAGCCCAGAGCCCGCGTACCCGCGTAGGCGGCTTTGTCACACACCTGCAAGGAGATGGAGGCTGTCTGAAGGCCACGACCGCCCTCTTGCCCAGGTTGTGGGGGGAGCAACGTCCCACCAACCGCCTGGACCAGGGAGTCCCGTTATTCACTGCCCACCCTGCCCTCTTCACTCTGTGGGGGGTAGAGGGTTCTCGAGCCTGTTATTTTGAGGGTGGCAGCTTAGCTAGCTGCCTTGAGACATTTGCCAAGCACTCTGCTTTGGTTGTGATGCATCAGCCATTGCTTGCATCAGCAGAGCCAGGGACCCTCAGTTAGTCCCCAGGAGGGATCAGGGACTGTCCACATGGCGAAATGTTTCCTGTTTGCCTCCTGAGCCGGCACGTCTTGTCAGCTCATGGATTTATTCTTTGGGACCTGTTGCTCAGATTGTGAGATGACCTTAATTTGTTTAGTGGAGAAGTGCCCCGGCATCCGCAGGCCTGGCATGAGCAGACTCTGAGTGTCGTTTCCATGGGGAGTAGAAAGTGGGGGTGTCTTAGGCCTGGGTGACAGAGTGAGACTCCAACTCAAAAAAGAAAATGGTGGCGGCACAAGCCTGTAGTCGCAGCTGCTTGAGAGGCTAAGGCAGGAGGATCGCCTAGGTCCAGGTGATCCAGACCACAGTGAGCTATGACTGCGCCACGGCACTCCAGCCAGGGCAACAGCATGAGATCCTGTCTCTAAAGTATAAAAATAAAAGGGAAAACAGCAAGACCCGCTCTGCATGCTGCTGACTGGTGTTGCTGTTCTGTCTGTTCCCTGCTTGTGTCCGGTGGACAAGCTCCCTCCGGCTGGTGTCACGCCACCTGGAGGTGGCTGTGTGGGGCTGGATGTGATGTCTACAGTGCAGCCCGGCAGCCGCCAAGAGTGGCCAGAGTCGAGCGTGGTATCAGGAAGCAGGGTGGCAGTGTTCAGTGCCCGTGTGGGTGGGACATGTTGCATTCCAGGCTGTGGGCTGACTGCCATCACCGGCTCACAGGTCCCAAAATGTAACTGAATTTTGCCCCTGGAAATCTCCACAGACCGCCCCCCAACGCTCTGCTCAGGACTTGGGGGTCCAGCAGTCTTGGAGGCCTTGCTGATGTCTGGATCTGTCTCTGCCCATCCCCACCTCGGCGCCTTCCAGGATGAGGGCTCCCAGCCTCCCCTGGGGGGGCTGCTCAGGCATCTGTGGAATGTTCGAGGCCACCTCTGGTGTTCAGGATACGCCTTCAACCCGGCATGGTGGCTTATGCCTGTTGTCCCAGCACTTTGGGAAGTGGAGGCGAGAGGATTGCCTGAGCCCAGCAGGTTGAGGCTGCTGTGGCCGTGAGTGTACCACTGCCCCAGTCTAGGTGACAGAGTGAGAATCCGACTCAAAAAAAAAACAAAAACCAGTGGGGGCCATGCCCTCGGCCTGCTGTCCTGCCCCCATAGGCTCAGGACACCTCCTGCAGTGCCCTATCTGTAGGGTTCCATGGAGTGACTCTTGGGTGTGGTATAGGTTACAGAAGTGAGTGGCATCCTTGGGGCGAGTCTCTGGAGCCATGGGATGAAGGTGTGTGGCAGGGAGGGAGGAAAGGCTTGTGAGGCATCCCTGACTGACCCTCGGACCTAGAGATGTCATGTGTATCACAGCAGGTCCCAGAAAAATCAATGTCAGTATGTTTCCTGTTAGACCCAGCTCGGCCCATGGCATCCTCCCCCTGGGCACATACTACCTCTCAGCCTCTTGGCTGATGACCGCTCTCCTGTGATTACTGCCCACGAGACTGACCTGCCTCTGTCCCCACAGTGCTGCTGACAGCCGTGAACTGCTACAGCGTGAAGGCCGCCACCCGGGTCCAGGACGCCTTCGCCGCCGCCAAGCTCCTGGCACTGGCCCTGATCATCCTGCTGGGCTTCGTGCAGATTGGGAAGGGTGAGTTTGGCCCCCAACAGTCCCTCCAGGCTGTACCTGTGTCCCTGACTGTGTGGCCCACCCTGAGAGTCTCCCGCGACTGTGCTACACTGAGTCTGCCCCAGGAGGAAGTCACCCCGTACATTAAATTAGGCCTTGGAGCAGGCGCAGAGCCCTGCAGACTTGTGGCTGTGCACAGAGAGCCTGGCGGCCCCAGGGGGTCTTGCTGCTTCCCTTTTATTTTTATACTTTAGAACAGGGTCTCAGGTTGTTGCCCTGGCTGGAGTGCAGTGGCGCAGTCATAGCTCACTGTGGTCTTGATCACCTGGGCTCAGGCGATCCTCCTGCCTTAGCCTCTCAAGCAGCTGCGACTACAGGCTTGTCCTGCCACCATGCCAGCTAGGTTTTCTTCTTTTTTGAGTTGGGGTCTCACTCTGTTACCCAGGCTAGAGTTATAGAGTACAGTGGTACGATCATGACAGTCATGGCTCCTCCTGGGCTCAAGTGACCCTCCCACTTTGGCCTCTTCAAGTGCTAAGGTTACTGGCGTGAGCCACCACACCCACCCTTTATTTTTTTATTTTTTATTTTTATTTTTTGAGTTGGAGTCTCACTCTGTCACCCAGACTGGAGTGCAGTGGCCGCTCCTGGCCACCGCAGCCTCGACCTGCTGGGCTCCGGCGATCCTTCCGCCTCAGCCTTCCAAGTAGCCGGAATTGCAGGCATACGCTACCACGCCTGGCTGATTTTTTGATTTATTGTAGAGATGAGGTCTCGCTGCCCAGGCGGGTCTCGAACCCGCGGGCTCAGGCAGTCCACTCACCTCAGCCTCCCAAAGGCGCGGGATTACAGGCTGAACCACCGAGCCCGGCTACACCCACCCTTTAAAACATTTTTTTACAGGGAGTAGGTCTCACTGTGTTGCCTGACTGGTCTCGAACTTCTGGCCTCAAGTGATCCTCCTACCTTGGGCTCCCAGAGTGCTGGGATTATGAGCACGAGCCACCACACCTGGCCCTGTTTGTTTTTTATGAAGTTTGTAAGTCTTAGGTGCCCGGTCTGTGAGTTGTAGTCACAACATGAGAAGGATAGGGAACGTTCCAGCCCAGCAGGGGCCTCACTCACCACACTGCTCCCTCCCACTCTGTCTCTTCCCACACCTGCCTCTCTGTCCCATGTGATGTTACTCAGTGGTGCGTGCTCTCCCCTGGCTGGGCGATGCCCCTTCTCATGCTTTACTTGTAACATAATTCTATGGGCAAGTATGGCGGTGCCTCTGTGTTTTTGGGTTATTAAAAATAAAGATCAGCTGGGCTCAGTGGCTCAGCCTGTAATCTCGCTCTTTGGGAGGCTAAGGTGAGTGGATTGCCTGAGCCCACAGGTTCGAGACCCACCTGGGCAACTTGACGAGACCTCATCTCTACAATAAATCAAAAACTAGCTGGGTGTGGTAGCACACACCTGTAGTTCCGGCTACTTGGAAGGCTGAGGTGGAAGGATTGCCGGAGCCCAGCGGGTCAAGGCTGCGGTGGCCGGGAGTGTGCCACTGCCCTCCAGTCTGGGCGACAGAGTGAGACTCCAACTCAAAAAAAAACCCCCCCAAAAAAAAGATCAGATAAGCGTTGAAACATCACTCAGATATGTCCACCATTAACTTAGTGAGAGCAGAGTTAGGAATGTGGCTTTTTAGGCTGGGTGGGCCAGGATTTGGTCATCACTGTGTGATCTTGGGGAAGTCACTTGCCCTCTCTGAGCCCCTTCCCTGGCTGCCTGTTCCTGGGGCTGCTGGGGGACTGTCGAGTGTCCCCGCAGGCATGTTCCCACAGATGTCATTCTACAGGTGTCTGTGTCTCTGGACCTTTTCATCCCTGTGTTTGCATGGTCTTTCTGGGTTTTTGTGCAGAGCCACCTCACCCTTTTCCACCCTGTGACTTCATGATACATGCACCATAGTTCATTACATGGTTCCCATTCTAGTGGGCACAGACCCTAGAGCCCTGGCACTGGGCACTGTCTCCAGCCTTGTCGGGTGCAGCTGGAGACAGGGTGGCTTCTGTCAGAAGTTCCTTTTTTTTTTTGAATCTGAGTCTCATTCTGTCACCCACGCTGGGGGACAGTGGCCCGCTCATAGCCATGCAGCCTCAATGTGCTGGGCTCAGGCTATCCTTCTGCCTCAAGCTTCCTGAGTAACTGGAACTACAGGTGCGTGCCACCATGCCTGGCTAGCTTTTTTATTTAGAGACAAGGTCTTGCCATGTTGTTCAGGCTGGCCTTGGACCCCTGGGTGCTGGCAATCCTCTCACCTCTGCCTCCCATAGTACTGGAACAACAGGTGCGTGCCACCATGCCTGGCCTGAACTCCCTGTGAACTTGTTTCTGTCCCTGTGGAATGGCCAGCCTGGGAGCAGAGTAGTTCACAGCTGCCTCGTTTGGCTCCTCACTGGGCATAGTCACCTAGATCGGCAGTGGGTGGCTGTGGCTCTGCCTTGAGCTGTCATCATAGCCCACTGTGAGCTTGGTCCCAGGCTGACACACTGTTGTGGCAGTCATGGGATGGCAGTAGAGAGGAGGTCTGGTAGTGGTGTGGCTATGGCTGGAGGTAGGGGGCCAGCAGGGCCTTGTCAGGGCCGGAGGAGCAGGGCGGGACCCTAGCGACCTGAGTCACTTGCTCTCTATCTCACAGGTGGGCTTGGAGTGTGGGGGCCGATCCACCCACCACACGGCGAGCCTCCCGGCCCTGCTTGTCCTCCCAAGCCTACTTGTCCAAACCTGCAGACTTGGCCCTCCTCCTGCCAGAGCCCGGTAGACAGCCACTATGCATGCCATCCTGGCCTCTGCTAGGCTCCCGGCCCTCTGCTGGCCACACGGGGCACTTTGGGACTGGCCAGAGAGATCTGAGCCCTTGCTACTGCAGGGCAAGGAGGCTACTTCCAGCCCTCAGCTCTTGAGGCCGCAGGGCCTGCCTCTGAGGGTGAGAGACCACAGCACTAGTCTGCAGTGACCTTGGAAAGGGACCAGCATCCCAGCCATGGAGCCGACCCATCTTTCCCAAGTGCACTGAGCTCACCCAGTGACTATGAGCTGCGATCGGCATTGTCGTGTTGAGGGAAAAACCCACCCTTTCCCCAGATGACTCGAAGTGGCCCAGGTCATGCCTCAAGGGCACGCTCTTGCCCTGCACGTCCGTCAGTGGTTCTGAGTCACCCAGGACCTGGGGGCCACCAAGGGGCAGGGCTGGGTGAGTTCTCGCTGCATCCAGAACCTTCCCAGGTTGTGAGGTTCCAGGACCCAGTGGGCGAGGCTTCCAGACCGTCTGGTCACGAGCAGCTAGCTGCTCAGGGAGGGGCCGGACTGGCAGCTCCCTGCCTCGAGAAGGGTTCGGCTGGGTAGGACCCGTTTTGTGGGCAGGAGGAAAAACTCTATCCTGTGCCTGCCAGGCTCTGCGCTGGGAGGCCCGCCCGGGGAGGCGGTTTCCTCGAGAAGGCAAGGCGTCTGCCTGGCTGCACTGGTTGGGAAGACGGGAGGGGCTGAGGAGGCGAACCTGACTTTCGTAAAAACAAATTTCAGTAGGGATAGCAAGGAGCTTCTGTTCAACTTGAATACATAATATGTTTGTAATTCTGTTTGCTGTGGAAGCATCCGCCCCCTACACTGTCGAATTCCCTTCCTGGCTCAAGCCACGTGAGATGCAGTGACAGTGCAGCGTCGGCGGAATTCTCCAAGGCGGTTGTTCCGTTCCCAGATGAATGCCTCTGCCTCCAGAGGATACATTGTTGAAATGCTGACCCTGCTCCCAAAACAGTCGTCTGGCTGTATTTCCCACTGGGCACAGAGCCCGTGGGCTACCCACCCCATCCGAGGCTGGAACTTGGGCTCCAGTGGGCATGTTGGCTGCCAGCTGGCCAGCCAGGTCTGGGGTAGGCAGCAGAGTCGGGCAGCGCAGGCCTGGCCCATGCACCTGCTTCTGTCCATCCAGGACACCTGCTTCGTCGGCACTGAAGTAGCTTCCTCCTCGCCAACCTCGGCCCTGGGACAGGCCTGGGGCTACAGAGAGGGCGCCGTCCCTGGGGTCCCGCGGGCCTGTTTCCTCACCCTCGGGAGAGGCCCCGGGCTATGTGAGCAGCCACCTTCCTCCCAGTGGCCTTCCACAGAGCCTCCCCGTGTGCTGGGTCTGTGTTGGGTCCCAGTGAGGGTACAACTCCGTGTCCAGAGCCTGTGTTACTGTGTGGGGACGTCATACCGCCATAGACATGGGACCAGGAGAGCCATGGGGAGGGGAGGGGCGGGGATCCACCCCAGACCAGGAGACTCTAGGGGGAGTTGTCCTCCCCGAGATCTAGGGGTAGGAGGAGGAGACGGGATGACGGCACAGAGTGAGGGTGACACAGGTGCTGGCTCTGCAGCGGCCTGAGCAGGTCAGGCCTCTCACCTTCTCGGATGTGGGGGAGCTATGGCTGCCCTTGGGCTGGGGGCACAGGGGACATAGGCCAGTTGACACACAGGGTGTCTAGGGTTTGGGAGACGGTGTTTGGAGTGGATGAGTCGTGGGGGGCCAGAGAGGTAAGGGTGGCTTGGGCAGGGTGGCCTCAGGAGATGCCTTGGGAGCAGTGCCCAAGGCCCCAGGTGGATGAGGTGGGCGGGCCATGGTGGGCAGGATGCCCCACACGCCTTCACCTGCAACCTTCCCTGGACATTTAGCAGAGGCTGCACCCGAGGTCAGGCTGTTCCCAGAGATGAGAGGCAGCTAGGCTTTGTTTCCGGCCAGGGCAGGAGTGGGTGCAGGCTCCATGTTCCAAGCCCAGTGCCCATGGCCAGGTCCCTCCTGGCCGTACAATGGGCCCCTCTGTGCTTGGGCTCGGGCTGCGGCGGCTGGACCCGCTGATCTCCCCGTGGGCTGATTAGATGGGGCCACGGTCAGATAGGAAGAGACAGAATCACTCGCTCTACCCCAGGTTGCCTCAGGGGGATCAGCTTTCCCCTGGAGTGTGGGCTGCACTTTTACTCTGTCTACAGGAAGGAGA